TATATTGAAGCTCAGTTTAATTTCAGTGGCCTTCTCTTGTGTAGAGAGATTTTGTTTTTACAACAAAGAAATCAGTAAAAAGAATACTTTAAAAATATAACTCATTATAAAAGCAAGGTAATTTGGTTTCATTAAAAAATTGTTTAATAGCATATTTGAGAATGTTGAGAGAGAAAGGGAGGAAAAAGCTTAATCTCAGTGACAGTTGTTATTTTCCATTACTTTGCTTTTGGAGGAAAAATATGGGATAGTCTTTCTTTATATAAAGTATATGTTTTGTCAGCCTGTTAAGAAATGTTTTTCTCGTCACCAGAACTGTGGAATTCCCTGACCCAGGCTTATCTATCTTTCTGTGGATCTTCATTACAGGGCCCTTTTTTTAGTAATTAGTATAGCTCAAATTTTGTTACCTCTTAAAATAATCTGTTTGCTTTGTACAGTTAATATTTTAAATCTTGAAATGATTTAAATGTTGCAAGTGATTGAGTTTAGCATTCTCCAAAGAAGAGGGTCATCAGATTTCAGTCATCCTTCGGTTAAGTTGGTATACTCTTTCAACCAATATTTTTATAGCATTTGTAGTATGACAATCACTGACCTTGATCATCCCTGATCTGTATGTAAACCTTCTGAAGGTTTATCATCAGACTGGCATAGTAATAAGTAACACTTATTAAATACCTATTTGTATTATGCATTATATAAGGCTTTTAATGGATTATCTCTTTTAATCCTCACAACGACCTTGCGAGGGAGGAATAAATAAATCATTTGTCTAAAATCACTTGGAGATAGGGTTGCCAGATGAAATACAGGAGGCCTGATTAAATTTCATTTTCTGATAAACAACTAATAATTCTTAATATAAGTATGTACCAAATATTGCAAAATCTGGCCTACATGGAAAATAAATGGTAGAGCTGGCATTTTAAATCATGTAATCTGGTCATAGGGCCCAACCTGTTAACTACTGAATTATACTGGATATGGAGAATAAAAATCGTGTCCAACTGGGTATTCATCTGGTATTTAGATGGCAGCTACTACCTGTATATCAGTTTTTTTTACTCAAGCTGTTTTCCCCTCCCCAACTGATTGTATTTACCATAATGTAGAAATATGTGCATGTTTTCTGACTTCAAAGTGTAACATCAACTTTAGGTGAATTCATATATATGTTTTATAGCTTCTCGTTTAAGTCTTTACTAATTGTGTATTAAATAGAACAACATGACACTTTTTCTGTACATGCTCATTTTAACCATTCTTGTCCATGTCAAATCATTGTAGTTTTCCTTCTTTTCTTCAAATATAGAAAGGTTTGATTACATGTGTGTGTTAAAAAGAAATATTTGTCCTTTAATAAGGTTAAAGAAATGACATGTGAATAAGGTATTTAACTGTTCTTTGAAACATGTCCTGTGTGTTCTCAAAAAATTTATAAAAAATTATAAAATACAGATGTCGACTTGAAAGAGGCTTTTGCAGAGAATTGCCAGGGAGGCCACCTGGCTGTGCCAAATGATCATACTGGTCAGTAAGGAATCATTTTTCCTGGTTTATTGTGAGAATACAGGATTGGGCTCTAAGTTTTGCGTATCTAGAAATTGACTTACAAAAACTGAAGACACAAGAGATTAAATAACACACATTTTAAATTTGATACCATAGATTTCTAGTCCCAGCAGAATTGCAGAGAGCAGATATTAAAAAGAAGACACTTAAAATTAATGAGCTAAGTGTTTAACTCAAGACTTGGAGTCAAGGAATATGGAAATTGAAGAGAAGGATATTTCTTAGTGCACCTACCTGTAATTAAAGGCATATCTATGAGAAATTTTTCTATTTCTAAAAATTTCTATTTTCTAGATATTGGATAATATCCGGGTAGTAATAGCAAGTCAGAATTTTGAAGAAAGTCCCAAAAGGAAAGCTCAGAAACATCAAGAATCAAAAGTACAACTCTTGGCAGATATAATAGGGCTTGCTCTAGGACTGGCCTGTATTTTTGTCTATTCCGTATATGTTTTTTCTAGACTACTCATATGTTTTTGGGCATAGCGTAGTGAGAGATTTGTCAGTGGCAAAGTGTCATTTCTTGCAAAGGCAGTCATTGTAAAATTAGTATTTCTTTGATAGAAATTAAACCTAATTATTTTGGACTACATCTATTCTTTATGAGGGAAATTTTGTACCAGAGTTTTCAAAAGTCACTACATTGTTATTCACTCAACTTTTTATTATTTTGTACAATTCATTAATGGTCCTTTACATTTTGTCTTTTTAAATATAAGTATGTTATAATCACCTTTGGGACACAGGAGACTGGAAGACATTAATAAGAAAAATGTTTCTCCTCTTTTATTATATAAATCTTTCCATGCAAGCAGTGACTCGATACAACTAAACTTATTAAACCCTCAGCTCTCTAGCCGAGAGAAAATAGATGGTTTTCCTAATGCCAATGATTGTGCCAATGGTTGTGCCGATGGTTATAAACACTGAATCGGCCACAGAGAAACCTAGCCTGATTACCAGCTCGACTGGAATTAAGTATTGGCATCCTTTCAAATTAATTATAAGTGTGCTTGTCTACTTGTATTCAGTAAAGCTGGACAAATGAATAAATAATTCAATTCCTTTTGAAGCAACATGGAGCACCAGGTTTGGATTCAGATCTGGGTTCAAATCCCTACTCTACCTCTTTGCAAGTTACTTAGTCTCCGTTTCTTCCTCAGTTCAATGGTAATGTTAGGATTGTAATGCCCATCTTGAAGGCTCGCTGTGAGAATTGAAGTAGATAATGTATTTATTTGTTCATTGAATAATTACTTATTGATTGCCTGCTCTGCCCAAGCATTGTTCTAGTGATGTGGGGGTCGGGGAACGTGACAAAATTCCTGCTCTTCATTTTAGTGGGAGAGAGTACAACCAACATGCAAGCAAATAAATATGTAATGTTAGGTAGTGAGTGATAACTTCTACGAAGAAAAATAAAGCCTGGCATATACAGAAAAATTTCCCCAGCTTTTTATAATTTTCAAAGTATAGTAAACACCTGTATGCTGTCCATCTCGATTCAACAATTAACGTATTGCTGTCTGCCTTATCCATATGTGTGGGGGGGGCGGGTGTGAGGGTATCTTGCTTTATTTTTTTTCCCCAAACCATTTGAAAATGAAGTTGTAGATATTGTTATAATTAGTCCCTTAGCACTTTAGCAAACATCTTTTAAGAATTAGGACATTCTTCTAATATTTAATACTAAAACTAATATTAGTTTTCCTTTTCCTCCTAAATCTCATGGAGAAAGCAGCGTGGCTGTCTGTCATAGCTAATCAGAAGGGACAGAAGGATTCATTATATTTTCATGTCATCTAAATGTAGAGATAAGGCTGAAGTTACTTTGGGAAGACATATATGTGTGTGTGTATATATATATACACACACACACACACACATATATATAAAATTAGGTTTATAGTATTTAAAATCGGATAAGAGCTATTTTGCAAGTGCTTTTATAACCTTTCAAAATTTAATTCTTGAAAACAAAAATATGACATTCATCCTCATTTAAGCAGTATGCAAGGAAGGGCGGAAATACACATTTACTGAGGAATTACTTCAGTTGCATGCTATGCTGAGTGCTTTAACATGTTATCTCATTTAGTCTTCGTAGAAACCCTTCGAGAATGTAAAAATAAAGAATAATTATTGATATTATAGAAGAAAAAGTAATAATTTCTTTAAGTCAGAAAGTTTACTTAATTGCAACTGGACTATTAAGTGGCAAAGCAAGAATTTGAATCCATATCTACTGGCTTCTAAAACACAAGCAATTTCCACTATACCCTGTTGCTTTTTTAATGATCGAGTTAGGCATTCGCTAATTAGGAGGAATTCTTTTAGAGTTAATAGCTAAATATGTAAGAGGAGCTACTAATACATATTTTTTTACTAGGAAACTTCTCTTTAGCCGCCTTTGTGATACACCACGATAAGAATTCAGTTTTCCATGGCAATAATTATGAATTCTTTATATTTGACACCAAATTATTTTCTGCTCTGCATTGTCATCTAACCAGTATTACTGCATTACTTCATATATGTATAGGCCTTATTTTCTCAATTATATTCTTCATTAAGGGTCAGGGCTGTGGTTCTCAAACTGGAGTGCATCGCGGTCATCTCACAGTTTCTGATTCAGTAGATCTGGGGTGAGGTCCACACATTTGCATTTCTAACACAGGCCTTTGTGATAGTAATGCTGCTGGTCCGGGGGACCACACTCTAGGAACCGCTATCTGCCTATTTGTCCCCCTTCAGTACTTATTATGATGTTTACCACTTCGCTTAAACATCTTCTCATCTGAATCTTTCCTTGACTTCCGTTTTACTGAAACGTAGTTGTTCTCGAGCATTAGTGTGTTTAGGGAAACTTGTCAACAAAGCACGATCTTTGATGATTGGATCGTGAAACACTGATTTTTAGCAAACACCTTAGATGTTTTCCATGGACAGCGATATGCGAACTGTGTCTTATTCATCATCATAACTTAAAGATTTGCACGGTGCCGTGTTAAAGAGCAGAAGAACGAGTACCACTAGTGTGTAGTCTAGCTGTGTGACCTTGGAGAATTTAATTTCTCTGAGCTTCAGTTTCCTCTTTTTATGCAATGGTGGTAGTAGTACTTACTTGCTATAGAAATTAGCTCTCAGCTGTGTATAGTGCTTAGTGTAGTAATTTATATACCGAATGAACCTAGGAAATGGAAACTATTACTATTGTTGTGGTTGTTTTGTTATGAAAGAAGCAAAATCAATGTTCCAATTAATGAAAGCCCCTAAATTATGATTTTAGCATTGGAATTCAGGATGTGTTTTTAACACTTCATTAAAAATCTTTACTCGTCTTGATTAAATACTATTTTACATTTTGGTATTTTAGTAAACTATTATGAAGTAAAGCTATGCCCTGGGCTTTTTTTCTCTCACAGGAAAACAAAGGAACCGCTTGGAACCCATGGATACCATATTCGTTAAGCAGGTTAAAGAAGGGGGACCTGCTTTTGAAGCTGGATTATGCACAGGTGCTAATATTATTCTTTAAATAATAGCTTCTAATTCCTTTTTTACTTTCTTTTTATCTTCCATATTTCATTTCTGTATTTTTTCCTTATCTATGCTCATGTATGTTTCTCTCTTTTTCTTCAGATCTATTATTACTGTTTTTGAGACATAATTGGTTATCTATTTCTTGATACCCAAATGGATGGGTTTGAACAGCAATAGTTTAATGTAAACTATAAATTGTAGGTATGTTAGGTTACCATTCAGATAATGGAGTCTTGGAGGCCCTTTTAAAGAACCTATTTTGCATATATTTTATTTTGAAGAAAGAAGCAAAATGGTGAAGATGTTTATTGACATAATTGAAATAGTCTTGGATCTTCAAATTCTGAAAGTACCTGATTTTCTAGAAGTGAGTTAATTAATTTGCACCATAACCAGTTGTTTAAGTCTTCAATGCAACACAAGCCCAGCCTCATCTGTAGGTATCAGTGGATATAGTCTGATAGCTGTTTGTTCTAAAATATTTTGTGATTTGTGATTTTAATAAAAACTAAATAGAGATTTCATTTAGATTAATGCACATTCTAAAATAGTTACTCTTTTGTTTTAAACAAAATAATTTAAAACGAGAATTAGTGAAAAACTATCTTTTATTGCTTTTTGAATAAAATGATTTTTAGCTACAAATATCTTGTCTTTTCAGCTACAGATATTATCAAATATCTATAGTGAGTGTCATTGCTAAGATTTATTAGAATACACTGTTAACTTATTACCTCCCTTAATTAATTACCATTTTCATCATACTTAAGTAACCCTAATTTCTGTATCATTAATGTGTATAACTGTATGTCAGCGTACATATGGAATTCCATTTTCTAGAATGTATCACCTGTCATGTTCTAAGCCTCACAAAGTTGGGAGGATGAAATGGAGATACTATGTGATAAACACATAAAAAGGGCATTTTTTTCCTATAGTCCTCTTTCTTTTGTCCTTTCTCTCCCAATCTTTTCCTTTCTCCTTCCCTGAGTTTTTCTGAGTAATACAAATGTCCTTTTCCCCATTAAAATGAAGAAGAAGTTAATATGTATAAAATTAAAACCATGTACATACCCGTATTTAAGTTTGGTCACGAAGTGCTAATCAATAAACTAAGTGGATTGGGAGAATACCACACGGAAGTTAGCTGGGCTAAAATTAAAGGACACTGAAGTAGTAAGACAATCAGTTGTTTAAGCCTGTTGAGTAATGTGTATCACAAATGACAAGAGAAACAGGAAAACTAGTAGTTCTACAACTCAGGAAATGGCCAGTAGGGGCATAGATAGTATCGTAGAGCTGTGGCCACTTGGTGACTGTACCTTTTGAGTTGTCTAAATTCATCAGTGACTGGAACTCTTATTTAAAACATGGCTTTATTCCATAAGAAACTAGATATATTAAAATTTAGATTCATTTTTATAAAAGATACTTTAAAAAATAATGAGTAATGGTACATTAAAAAATAAGGACATTACTCGAGACATTATTTCAAAAGTATTCAGAAGGGACTTTCTGTAGGAATTCCTCACGTGATTTTTTTTTTTATTCCTCTCTGAAGGTGACCGAATCATAAAAGTCAACGGAGAAAGTGTTATTGGAAAGACCTATTCTCAAGTAATTGCTTTAATTCAAAACAGGTAAGATTCTTGAAATATGATTAATTTTGGCCAGAGATGGGTTTTACAAATCAATGGAGCAAGTAGATTTAATAGAATATCGTATTTCTGTAGGGAACTGAGGTGATGTGGAGATGTGGAACTTTGTCTTAAAGTGGATAACGCATTTGAGGGTTGCCAAGAAGAAACTCCTGAGGATAGTGTAGTTGGTGGCTTTGCTTTGGCAAATTCATCAAATTTGTGATTAAAATCCTTTAACGTCTAAAAGGCACACATTTTAAATGTTCTGTAAGTTTCCCACTTTTATTCCAAGTGACAAATGATACTTTGTTTATAATATATAAATAAATGCATATATAATTGATTTTAAAACCTCTTACTAAAATAAAGTATCTTTAAATAGCTTATTGAATGATATTCTTAGCTCAAAATTATTCATTTGTTTTAACCAAGATGGCAAAAGATTGTCTTTTAATCCATTTGTCTGCCTACATTGTGCAGAATGATAGGATTTTGAGTTCTAACAGTAAATATAGAGTGACTGTCTATGGGACCTCAAAGATAATTTAGTCCTACTCTTTCTACAACAAACCTAGACAATTTACAAAAATTACAAATAAAGTAATTGAAAGCCACAGAGGTTACCATATTGAATAGCTGTCAAGAGCAGGCATGAATCTGGGGTTTGATTTCCAGATCAGCACTATTGTAGGATGTTCTTTCTAGATTCAAATATAGTAACTTTTAGATTATCTGTGGCATTATATGAGCTACACCCCACTATCTACAATTAAATTGAAGTTTTTTATTTTCTGAAGATCTTTATCAAGCTCCTCTACATCTAAAGCAGTCAGGCTATAATCTGTTACTTACACTGCTGCCCTCATACATTGTCGTTTTTACAATTAGATGTGATGCGATCTGGGAGTATTCTCCGAACTGTTTTGATATTTAATGACATTCTTAGAGAAAGCAGATTTTAAATCTAGCCTCTAATGTTGGTTTCTAGGTGTTCTTTATAGTGATACTAATTGATTTTAAAGTATGAGGAGACTTAGGGACTGGTGGAACATTTGAAGCCTCGCCGAGGCCGTGGGGTGACCCACCCAAATTTTCTTTTCCTTAAAATCATTTAAATCATTGTAAATATACCAATATGGGTTTTTAACCTGTAATTTAAGGATTTTTAATATGTTTGTTAACATCTCTTTAAAAATATTTTCCAATATTTTAGGAAATAACTTATTCTTTGTTTTCCTAAAAAATCTATGTTAATTTTTTTGTTACTGGTGCCATTCATCTTTCAGAGTACTAACGTTTTGGAGTGACAGTCTTAATTTTTCAACCAATAAAGCAGTTTGAAAAATAAAGAAATACTGTTTTTCATGATCTTATTTTCTTTTAAAAAATTGTGTTCCTTTTGTCTGCAGTTGGTAGCAAATGGATAATGCAGCACAAAGCCATTGAGATTCTGCAGAGTATTAGTGTAAAAATGTATCCTTGCAGAAGAATTTATCTAAACATCAGTATGTATTTTCTACCAACTCTAAATACAAGTACCTGCATAATTTACTAGTTAAATTTATTCGAACCTGTGGTTCTTATTGGTTTTCTATTCTCTCAGCATTTATAAACCCCAAAATAAGGGTTCAAATCTATCAAAAAGAGACACCAGTGAATTAGATCTTTTTTTTCTTTTTTTTGTTTCTTGTTTGATTGTTTCTTAATCTCTTGATTGTATTGGGGTGGGGAGATTCTCTGATATTGGTAGGTTAGATATTGAAGCCCTTGATGGGACAGCACCACTGTCCTTGCCTTATCTAAATGTAATTCCAGATCACAGGACTCAGTATAATGTCTCCTTTTGGACTTTTTAACCCAGAGGAACTACTCTGTCATTTTGAACAAGAAAATAAAATGAGACTCTGAGCTGTGCCTGTAAAGGCTCTAAAATTAAATTGTAGAAAGGAAAGCATATACAGAAGTTGAAATGCCATATGGTTTTTAATTAAATAAGGAGTCATGTTGATAGTTGTGATGGTGGACTCTGATTTCCTTCACTTCTGAGGCCAAGAGGGAATATTTCAAAATTAAGCTTATTAATATTGCCTAAAATGTTAAATATGAGAGTTCCTTGTTTTTTTGTTTTTTTGTTTTTCACTTTTAACTTGATAGTGAGAATATGTGGTAAAAATTTGTAATTTGTTCCGTGACTTTAAGTAAAATAATAACTAATTATATACTGATGAGTTTTGTTACAGGACTATTTAATATAAATAATGTACTTTATTTCTAAATTAAATTATGTTTCTAAATTATAAGAAGACTTGACTGATTATGAATAGCTCAAACATATGACAGGGAGTCCTCCTTCATACATAATTAGCTTAAGTATGTATAAAAGGGACTTCTTTTCACTTTAGTGATTTGAATTTTAAAAGTAGAGACTTAAAAAAATAAAAATTAAACTCTTGAGCAATTTAAGAAATGCTTTTAAGTTAACTATTTTTCCTTTATGTCTTTCTAATACATTTCTACCTCCCCTAAAATAGTGTATATATATATGTTCAATTTCAGTGATACAACATTGGAGCTTAGCGTTATGCCCAAAGATGAAGACATTCTCCAAGTGGTAAGTTTTATTCAAATACGAATTGTTTTTTAGTCATGAGTGTTAATAAAAATTCTTTAAAGATAGAGGTGGATTACATTTTTTAAAATTCTAGGAAAAAAAAACAAACTCTTTGGTTTATTTAGCAGAGTCTGGAATTCCTCAGATTTAACAACAACAACAACAACAACAACAAAAAGTAAAAGACCATTGTCGATTTTTTGCAATTAAGTGATATGATAATGTTTTATTGATTTTACTGTGAACCCTTATTGTTGTCATTTGCAATGAGATCCCTAGAATTTACTCCAGTATTGTTTTTTAGGTAGTCATTTGACGAAAAGTCAAAAAGTTCAGGGTGCTAGGGCATAACCCCAAGAATTAGAATCTTTTTTTTTTTAATATGAGGAAGTTTCTGAAAGCCATTTCTTAATTTTCAACAAGTGTTACTGTTTGTAAATTAACTTACCAAGCAGTTTTCTTGACAGTAACAATTCATTCCGATAGTAGAAATAGGCACGATGAATGGAGTCCACAACTTAAGGGAAAAATATATGAAGGTCTTAGGAAATGAAACTGTATTATTGAAAACTTTAGCATTTAGTCTAAAATATTTTTCTCCGTTTTAGAAAGAAATTGAATGGAATACTTACCTTCTTTATTAAGCTTAAATATTACTGAAAGTAAAAAGCTGATAAAATATATAAACTTCATTGAAAAAATTAATAATTTCCCCCAATTAACTCTGCAGTTTAAGAGAATAAAACAGCCTGAGAAAACTGTAAGTTACACACTAAAAGCTAACAATTAGATCTAGGAAATGGCAGTGGCTACTAGAGTTTTGTTTTTTGATTTTGTTTTTTCTTTTGTTTTTTTTGTTTGTTTTTAGTGAATAGTTTTTTTTGTTTTGTTTTTTCTTATTCAAGAAATATAGGTAGATGGGGTAACAGGGGTCAAATATGTGGTGACAGAAAGAAATCTAACTATGGGAGGGGAACACACAATGCACTATATATATGCCTATTAAATCGTATACCTGAAACTTACTAGATTTTGTTAACCAATGCCACACAAAAAAATAAAATAAAATAAAAAATAAATATAGGGAACTTATGGAATCTTGTGATGGGAATGGAAATGGTAATGTTTTTTATTTGTAACGCATTAATTTGAATTTAGCTCTACAAAAGTCCTAAATAATCTTCAATAAACTTTTTTTTTTCTTTTTAAATGTCACTAAAACTGGTCCTAATGATTCAACTTATTCCCTGACGAGTAAAATATAATTAACCGAAGTCCATGAAGTTCAACCTTGTGTTTTCAAGGTGTGTTGATGTTATTTGAGAGTGGCTTTTTACTGATAACAGATTACCCATCCTAAGTACACTGTTCTGTTGGGGTTGGGGATACTTAGCAAGGAAGGTGCAACTGTCCATGGTAATTTTCCTGGGCATGTAGAGCTAGCGGTAGGGTTTCTGCAGATTGAGAGAGTAGCAGATGTAACCATCGAAGGTGATAGAAGTCGCTAGATTAGAAATAAATAGGAGACTTCCTGTAGTGTTTCGCTTCTTCAAAGGACTAGACGATGCTTAGATGGTAGGAAAAGCTTCGCCTTGAATTCTCCTTGCAGTCTGATGACTCAACGACAGAATGCACTTCCAGAACAAAACTGTTTTTTCATCCTCAGTAGACGCTTTCCTTGCCAAAGTGAAGGTACTGGTTGGACGCTATTTTGAACAGAGCTCATTTCACAGAATGGCTGGCATTGTACTAAATGCCTAGGGAAGGAAGCAAACGCAGAATTACCATCATAACCTGCTGTGTGGTTGATGATGAGTAGCAGCAGTGGAAGGACCAATTTTCTAATGATGTGATCAGTGGGAAATTGGGTTAATTAGCCTGTCTTGTTATATTGTATTTAAGATAAATATATTTAAAATAAAGGTAAAATACAAAGTGTTGCAAACATGGGAAATTGGTTCACTAGAGCAACATGAGCACACAGATCTTCGTGGTTCATCAGTAAAGGGTTCTGTTATATTGTAACAGGAAATTCATTTTTAAAACATGTTATTTGAATTATTTTAATTATAAGAAATTAAAAGCTGAGACCTATCATGATAAAAGAAAATTTGACTTTTAAGCTCAGCTTTCATTCATATTTGGATGTGCTATAGTTTATTAGGAAATCAAAGGAGTTTATATAATTAATCCATACTTTGCATTGTTCCCTAAAGGACATTAGGACATGGCAATTTCTTTTAATGTATAATTGTTTTTAGCTGGACTATCTACAAGTGTCATTTTTTAAAGCTATTATTAAAAAAAAAAAAAAAAACAAAGAGAACCTGGGATTTAAAAAAACGTGCATAAAAATACTTCTCTCCAACAGATTCTAGAGGTAAAATGTTCTATAAGGGGTTTTCAGAAGTATTATGTTGGTCTTAAATCTGTTACCCAAAATATAGCCCTTTAAAGATGTATTTGTTCCTGTGAGATTGAATATTCACTGTAAAGAAAACAGTAAACATCAACATTTTTATAGCCTCTGTAAAAATTATTTGCCCAAGAGAAAGCTTGTCATAGTTGGTATATGTTTGCCCAGCAACAGCAGGATGGGTGTCCATGGAATTTTGTTCCTGAAATGACATATGGACCAAATTTGCTCAGCTCATCTTTGAGAGGTGGCATAGAAAATTTAATTCGATTTAAAATTTAACTCATGTAAGGGCAGGTATATAAAAATAAATTTAATAATTTACAAATTACAGTGATAGAATGTTGAAAAACCTGAAGTAAAATTAAGAATAATTCGTTGTTATTAAACTAGGGCTGTTATTAAACTAGGGCTCCAGTACTTACTTGTCAGCCTCATTTTTTAAATCAACATATATTTTCTAGATTAAGAACATAAATAGCATCACATTCATTTTAGTCACTTTGACAGTATTCTATAATGATATTTTAGACTGTAATATCTTAGGTTTGTATTTGTAAGGTGTAATTACAAAATAAAAAGCATTTCCTGTTTCATTTTCAAAGAAAACCAAAATGGTTTTGTTACCTTCTCAAATGTCTTGTGTATGAATGAAGTAGCCACCGCCCATCAAATCGCCTGAACAGTGATGCTGGTTGAAGAAAACACATTCTTGCATGAACCGATGGTAGGAGAACTCAGTCAGTGGATGCCTCAAGATATTTTGTTAAGCATTTGGCTCAGTGGACTCAAAAGTAAATTTTAAGCTGATCGGTTCTGATGGCTGTGGAGATTCTTGGGTGCGTCTACTGTCTGGCCAGGGCGTTTCACGCCTACTTGTTGCTGGTTTGGGTTAAGCACAGCAAGGTTAGCTGCTTTTGTCATGTGACAGGGAAGAAAGCGATGGCACAGGGATTTGAACCCAGGTAGGTCAGAGACTAGCGCCTGTCCCCTGAGCTAAACCTGGTTGTATGCTGCCGCTGGGTACAGGAGAGGAGTTAGCGAGCGTGCTTCTCACAGTCTCCTAGCTGTTGTTGGAGCTCACATCTCTGGGCTCTGAGTCTAGTGCTCTTTTTGTCATTCCGTGAAGATGTAATATAAGTTGAGAAATGTAATTTGACCCAAGTTTTTCTTGAGATTTATTAGAATTGCTTTCACAATAATCATTTAATATGTTTCATGATCAGTAGAATAGTCCACTGAAAATGAGATATCCATTTGTCAACTGTGGATCAAGATGGTCTTACCTAGAGTAAGGGAAGCAGGAGTAGGAATTCTGGAGGGATTCTTTCATATTTGTCAAGTTTGTAGCAGATTTTAAAAATCTGTTTTTAAATAATGATAAGCTAATACATGCTTCTTAGAAAAGTTTTAAGTAATTTAGAAAGTTGTAAAATTTTCACACCCCACTGTGGTATGGTTGACATGTACTTTACTGTACAGGCAGACATATAGTTATTTTGGCTTTTATCATAGGTAATAGCATTAAATTAATAAGTCAGGCTATTAAAGTGAAATGGTAGGCAGGAATTTTAATCATACCAGCAGGGTTTTTTTGTTTTGTTGTTTGTTTTTACCATTTATTAGACAGTATAAGTATCATGGGCATGGAAATAGTGATTTTGATAACAACTCTACTAAAACTGAACTGAAGGATCATTTTAGGATCATTTCAATACTATTAGGCACTGTACGTATAGTCAAGATCCAGATTGTTAATATTAAATAATACATTTGTATTTATTAAAACAGCGATACATCAGACCATGATTTGTCAATGAAACACTTGGTACTTTTTGACCAAGCCCTCAAGGGAAAGCCTGCCAGCCACAGCTGTGAGCAAGTTATAGGGTTTTCATGTCTTTTTGCAGGTATAAAAACCTTATCAGTGGGTTCCATGTCCACGTCAAAGAGTTGTTGCATGTTGCATGTTGTTCCATTCCAGATGATTCACCTAATGTTCACTCAAGCCCTGATGAATATTTTCCCCCTTGAAGGAGTCTCAAGCATTCTTTAGCAGGTTTGTTTTCCAGGGAAACAGTTAGCAAGCATCATGGCAGAAGAGGATTCCTTAAAATGCATATTGTCTGTTCTGATTTATTTCCCCAAATTTACTCTGAAGCCAATCTGTGTCTGTACCATACCTCTCAGAATAGTCATTGAAGTTCCAGAATTATTCCTAGGTATGTCTGTGACCTACCTGGAACACATAATAAGCTACAGTGGACTTAGGACTCTGCTAATTTCCCCACAGATGTTAAGTGAATGGTATTAGTTCCCAAACTTTATGAGAATGAGGAACTTTTAGATGATAGATAGATAGATAGATAGATAGATAGATAGATAGATAGATAGATAGATGATAGATAGATAGATAGATAGATAGATAGATAGATAGATAGATAGATAGATAAACAAGTATTTTTAGTGTTCATGAACTGAGAGGATATGTGAAGTAATTCAGTAATGCTCTTGGATGAGTTCACGTTTTATTCGTCAAAACTGCATCTGCTTACATTACACAATAATTCTGTATATGTAAGAGTTCTCTTAGTCCACTGTTAATGCATGGTGCATGGGAATATTTTTAGGGACCCCTGCCATAACTTTACTTGGAAGTGGGGACCCATGAATGTAGACTATTTAAAATTTAGGGTTACTATATAGGAATCTTAGAGATGTCTGAAGTACGTGAAGTATTTTTTTGAATATTTAATAGTTTCAGTCATACACTTATATTATTAAAAGATAATATTCCTCCCCAAATTTGAATAAAGGAAGGATCTTAATTATTAGTTCTAGAACAGTGTTTCCTAGCAAAAATTGTACTTATATTAATACCCCTGGAAAAAATGAGTTCTATGGCTAAATAAGTTTGTGATCTACCTTTGAGTTCTACAACGTACAGTAATGTAGTAGAGGTCTTGAGAAGTCAAGGAACTTCCCAGCCAGTCTTATCCTAGGTCACTGACCACAGAGACCACACTCTCCTCCTCTTTTTCAGGCAATACCTGATAAATACCTGATATGCACAGACCTACTGTGGGAAATACTGTGTCAGAGTTTACTCGTCCAGACACAGTTTTCCTTTCATGGAAAAGTATTGGTGTGAATATAATCAGAATTAAAAAGATAAGTTTGTTATATCAGTGCACGTCCTTAAAATGTATACTTTGATTGACTGTATTCATGCATTAAAAATATTGTGACATGTATGTTTTTTTTTTATCTACTTGGCTTTAATTTCTTGCTACAATCTGGTTTATGTTTTATAATATTCATTACAAAAGAATAGCTCTGGAAGTAGTATTTTTTGTCTATTCAGTAGTTATTTTCATCAATTAATAAAACAGGGGCCAAAAGGTACAGTGTTGAAAGATCTTAATTTTTGAGTGAAACCTATTTAATAAAACAGCCACTCTCTTTTTTCCAAATCACAGTGTAAAGGCAGCTGCAGTCAGCTGACAGCTTGTGGTTATACTCTGATTTACAGGGGAAGGAGGAGGTTGTACTATTTTAAATGCATAATAGAGCCTTCGTTTCGTCATCTGGAAGCAGAGATGGAAGAAGCTCAGGGGAAATGAGAGACGTCGATGTTGCTCTTGTGGAAGGGAAGCTTTGTAGCACATCGTCAGACAGCAGTACAGATCGAAGAAAATATCTATTAGGAATGCATGTCACCAGACGTATTTTGCTTTCAAGGATGGTAGACAAATCAAATCAGAACCAGATAAAAGCCTGAGAAAAAGATACCCAGAAGGATACTGAAGTTATTCTTTATGCTTCACTGCCCTTTACCTCTCTTGGTACCTTCCAGAGAAATGAGTATAGATGTATTTTGAGCTTGCTGTTTCCAGCATCAATATGACAACATGATTCTGTCTTTCTGTCAGTAAGCAGCTTCTACTATGTTTTCCTATTTTCTGCTAGCTACAATTTACAAAGGATGTCACAGCTCTGGTAAGAAATGCACAGAAGCCATTTCCTTGCTTTTTAAGTCATGTTTGGTAGAGATTTGTAATAAGCCAATTGATTGAAACTGTAAGTTTGCTTAGAGAAATTCCTCCATAGTGCCATAGTGTTAATCTTACTAATTTGCAGAATGTGTTTGTGACATATGGTTTTCTTTATTTTTTATTTTTATGGGGTTTTTTTTTTTTTTTGGTATCACGTACATAACCAATGTTAAAACATATTTATCTGCATCTGTGTTTTTTTTAAGTATCTCACCTTCTCTCT